GACACAACAGGGAAGGGGAGTGGCTTCAAGGGATTGTCTCTACTGAAACTGGCAGGGAGGAAGCCTGTGCGTCCATGAATTAAAGTAAGCATTCTTGTCTATTATAGCCTCCCTAGAATAATTCCTGTATATATGGGAAGAGGGAGGAGACACTCACAGTTCATTTTGTTTCTGGCCAGCCTAGAGTGGGTCTGCAAAAGTTTATAAACTGTCACTTTGATGTAAGAGCAGACTGGCACCTCCAGATGCTTCCATAGTGTTTTCACCTTTCTTCAGAGCACCACAGAAACCCCAAACATCTCTGCATCCTATCATATAAATTCTGACCTAGGCTTATATATTGGATGTCACACCACTTCCTCAAACTAAATCTGTCCAAAACTGAGCTTATAACATTTCCTCCTCTCCGTGTCCCCTCCCCAGACTTCTCCATCACAATCAATAGCACTACAATCAGCCCCTCCCGTCAAGCCAGGGTACTCGGAGTAATACTTGACTCTGAGCTCTCCTTTCAGCTCAACATCCAATCACTATCCAAATCTTGCCAACTCAACCTCCGTAATATTTTAAAATTGGTCCCTTCTTAACAAATGATTCAGCAAAGCTTCTAATTCACTCCTTTGCAATATTTTGCCTTGACTACTGTAACTCCCTCCTTGTTGGCCTATCACTAAGCAGGCTATCCCCCTTTCAGTCCATTATGAACGCTGCTGCCAGATTTAGCCACCTTACCAACAGTTCAGTGTCCGCCACCCCTCTCTGCCAATCGCTCCATTGGCTCCCACTTCCCCAACATATCAAATTCAAAATATTAACAATAACTTACAATGCCATCTACAACTCCACCCCCAACCTACATCACTGACCTCATCACATCTCAAAATATCGGCCAAACCACCCCCTTTTCTCTTCCCAAGACCTCCTGCTCTCCAGCATTCGTCACCTCCTCGCATTCTTGTTTCCAGGACGTTTCCAGAATGTCTCCCATTCTCTGGAACTCCTTACCCCAATCTGTCCGCTTATCTCTACTCTCTCCACCTTTAGGCGATCCCTGAAAACTCTTCTCTTCAGGGAGGCCTATTCCACCTCAATTTAACTGTCCTTCCAGTTCTTCCATTAAATCTTACCTTTTGTATCACTTGCCCTTCCTACTAGATTGTAAGCTTTCATGAGCAGGGCCCTCCTGTGCTGAAATTGTATTGTTAATTGTATTGCCTCCCTCAATTTTGTAAAGCGTTGCGCAAACTGTTGGCGCTATATAAATCCTGTATAATAATAATAGTGAGCTCTGTCATGCCCCTCCTTTAGCTCACTATCACAGTGATGAGCCAATAAGGAGGAATGGGAGATGGCGGGCCAAAGTTCTGGTCTTAATTTGCCCCAAATGTGGAGACTCACAGGGAACAGAGGGGAAAAAGGTAAACCAATATAAGCAGACGTGCAGGTGCTTTCTATAGCATCCAAGTAACAGTTATATCAAAAAAGAATTGCTTTAACACGAGTAATAAACGAGGCCAAGTTACTGTAAACTAACATCTAAATCTGATAAACTGATGGAAGTATGACGCCTTAAGATTTTCTAGCATATCAAAACCAGTTTTTCTTTTTATTCCTTAAGGATATACATCAAAAAAGTAAAGAAGTTTCCAAAATACAGAGTTCCCACAGATCCAAAGATTGATAAAAAAATGATTAAGATGGAGCAAGAGAAAGCTTTTAACTTTCTAAAAAAGGATTTAGATAGCACAGAGGGAATTTTAAGGTAAGATAACATATTTGTAATGTTTGGTGGATGATTGCATATGGTAACTTCCAACTGTAGCAACATATGTGTTTGTGCAGGAATCATTTTAGTATTAACTTCCTTGTTAGTGCAGTAGAACCCCTTATTTCATTTCTACACCATATGTTCAGTGAACTACTCCTAACTAAGCTTCCTTAAACTTCACCAAACAGATCTGAGCTGGAGATGTAGATAGGCTTCATTTAACTATAGAAGGGCATTAGCTATGGCACATGTCAATAAGACACAACTATGTCACTTTAAACACCTGCTTGTCACATACTGATGGCTGCTGCAACTTATAGAAGCAGAACTGTCCAGTCTTCTGCCATTATCCTTCTGGTGTCTGTTATGTGAACAGCACAGGCGTGCGCACACACCTTAATTATTCTGATAGCAACACTGAAACCACAACAGTGGGCGCTGTTTTATTTTAGTTTAGTTACTGAACTGGTGGAGAGATCAGAAAAATCTCTGAGACTGGCTCAGCGATACAGAGCACAGCAGTACTTGGCACTTACATTCCACACATAACAGCCGCAGTCCCCGGTGCCTGGGAAGCTGCGAGGGAGCGTGGCTGCAGATTCCCAGACTTCCAATCAGGAAGCTGAGTGGGTGATCACATGATCCACCTGCCAGGCTCCCTTACTGTGTGCACACCCTAATGCAATATGCTGCGCATGCCAATGGTGAAAAGTAAGCATAGGTAAAATATGACACCACCGCCTAATTCACACAGGCTTCAACTTGTGTAAGAGCAGTTTGAACAGGGAGCTCTTACACAGCATATGCAAAGCTTATGGCACGTTTTGTTGAAGCTTTTAAAGCACTGTTCAGCTCCAGTTTGGAAATGTTAAACACAGATCTTAAAGAAGAACTATGAGGTGAGTGAAAATCACTCATCCTCATAGTTTGAGCCAACGTGTAACAATTAAACTGTCACACATTGGCTCAATAGATTGGGAAGTGAGTGAACACATACCGTCGCTTACTCACTTCCCGATCATCTCCCTGCAGAGAGCGGTGACTGTCCAGTCACCGCTCCCCCCAGGGATTCCCCGCTCCGTTCCTCCAGCGCTGACTGGCGGAACGGACGAGGGAAGGGCGGGCACAGCTTGCTCTGCCTCTGGATAGGCAGAGCCAGCTGTCATTTAAGCAGCTGGGTGGATCTCAACAGTAATGTCGGGATCTGTCCCAGCTGTGGTGGTCTCAGTATACCGCAAGCTGTAGCTTGCTATATACTGAGCTTTGGGTCACGGGAGGAGGTTAGTATATGTCCTCCTGTGACCTTTAAGAGAACTATGGGGAAAACACTTACCTCATACTGTAGTTCTCTTTTAATAGGGGTGCTGACTGTCACTTTAAACAAGCTGCTTTAACTATACAATCTCTATTGGGAATTAAGGAATTAGAAACAATTGGGCTTAAAAGGCTTCATCATATCGTATCATAAATCATATCAATCTCGTCATCAATCAATCAGTCTGTCATTACCACATATGTTTCATATATAAGTGAATCCTTATTGCTTTGTTAAATGTATTAACATGTGTTTAAATTTACCTGACAGAAAAACTTAAACTTCAAAAATCTCGACATTGACTTTGAATTTAATAAAAAATTATGTTGAAGCCCATCCTAGCCAAACTTTTTTATTCTTGCATGATTCTACTCACATTTGGTCTCTAGGAGAAGAAGCAGGGGGAAAAGCTTCCCAATAGGATGCAGACCACTACAAAAGCCTGACAGAGATTCTAGCCCTTAACAACTTTAACACTATAAAATAGAGGATTTTACTGGAGTACAAAGACCCTCCCTAACAAAAACTGATGTATGACTCCCATCCCAAGTTATTTTAGCAAATTGATTTCCCCTATAAGAAACTTTATCCTAAACACTAGTTTTTTTTTTTACATTTATGCTTAGTTTAAAGGAGAACTATGGGGTTAGGGCTTTTCCCCATAGTTCTCCTTAGGGTAATGGGATCAAACAAACTAGCATCCTCCCGTCACCCTAAGCTCAGTATACCGCGAGCTACAGTTTGCGGTATACTGAGACGCCGCAGCTGAAGCGGATCCCGACAATTATGTCTGGATCCGCCCAGCTGCGTGACTGACAGCTGGCTCTGCCTATCTAGAGGCAGAGCCAGCTGTACCCGCCCCTCCCCCGTCCGTTACGCCAGTCAGCGCTGGAGAATCGGAGTGGGGGAATCCAGTCCCTCCCCTGTCACGGCAAGGAGCCGTGACAGGATCGAGAAGTGAGCGAACGCCGGTATATTTTCGCTCACTTCCCGATCTACTGAGCCAACCTGAGTAGACCGGGAAGGTCACAGGTCGGCTAGAACTATGAGGTGAGTGAAAAGCACTCACCTCCTAGTACTCCTTTAGGTAAGTGTAAGACTAAGATTTTCTTACTGACTGCTTACAAAATCTTAGTTTACAAACATCAATTTTGAAACTGTCCAAGGTAACTGTTCTTTTAAACACATGTGTTGTATATATAGCCCTTAACCAAGATCTGTATTTGACTAATTCTCTCCATGGGTGTATTATCACAGATGGTATGTGCAGTTACCTGACCAGGAAGCACATCAGTATCACAGTCTAGACGCAAGCTGTTTCTCGCCCTCACCTACCTCATTCCAGCCACCTAATGAGGAAGAAGAGGAAGTGGTCTGTGATGAGAACAATTCTCAACCCTCTCGTCTGCACCCTTGCGTGGCTGAAAAAATTCGTGACCTTGTGTCCAAAGGAATTGATGAGGTTTATTCCGTAAGAAAACAGTTAAGGTAAAAAAAAGATCAGAAAGTAGCCCAAATGATCAACCTCTGTATAAAAACATTTAAAGTTTCTGTTTGTTATAGAACAAAAATAGATATAGCCAACTGATATTGATACAGACATCAATTTGTCACTGTGCTATTCCAATCAGTTCTGGCTTTAAACTCCTAAAGAGGAACTGAAATCTGGAAGCCGCATCCAAAAAAGGCAGGGAGTGGACAAAGGACTGTTCACCAGTATTGCCTGTGGTCTCCCTGCAAATAATCCTTCACTGTCACTGACTTACCATGCCTTGTTCTACACTGTGTCTCTATGTGGAGGCAGCAATATTGATAAAGGTAGGGCTTTACTTCCTCATGTCAGAGCCTCCAGCATGGAGAACAGTGAACAGCATAGCAGTGATATCACAAAATCTCATACCAAACCTCCTTTCAGAAGCAGCAGTGCATCAGATCTCACGTTGCAGATACACTGTTATGAACCTGTAGGCACAGGACTGCTTAGGCACCCTCACAAACTAGGAAGTACACTGCTATTTTTAGGGAGGAATTCAAGACAAAAGGTACATTTGCAGGTTAATGCTTAGGAATATGTACTGCTTGTGTTCCCTCTAACATAGCAAGTCTTGACTATTCGAGTTCAGGTCTACTTTATGACATCTTACACAAAAATTTACATTTTTGGAATCCAACATCTACAAAATGTCTTATTGATATTCTGACTTGCTTATCTAAAATGAAAGCATAAAAAGCAAAATATTGTTTTCTTTGCCAAATAGGTTATCTCAAGTGCAGCATATTTTTCATATGAAAATATAAATATATGTATCTCTAAAGCCCAAAAGCAAGATTAATGGCCACTAAAATATAAAATTACGTTAGTTATTTCTTTGTATACAGGATTTTGTTTTTACATCGATTATCTGTGTTTTTGAACTGATTAGAAAATTTGTGGAGCGAGAGCTTTTCAAACCGGAAGAAGTCCCTGAACGGCATAACCTGTCTTGCTTCCCAACTGTGAATGATCTAAAGAACCACATCCATGAGGCACAGAAATCCCTGGGGAATGGAGACCTCATCTACGACCAGGAGACTGTTCCAGGATCAGTGAGAGAGGTGACTGCTAAGTGCATGTACATGAGTTTTCTAGGGGAAGTAATCCCTCATATGTGGCTTGCTGTTACTAAGCCACTGGGTGGTGGTTAATAGAGTACACATGTAAAAAATCTAATAGGTATATAGAGTTGATGTACACCAGAATTCAGCAGAGGTTTTCCAGCTATTTCACACCTTCTGTTGATTTGTGTGCATATTTTTTTCCGTGTAGAAACTTGATCTTTTAGCAACCACAATCTGTTGAATTCTACGCAAGTAATGTGCACTTTACTTACATATATACACGTATTTTATATGAACTAGCAAATGGGATCCAGTTCACGATTGGGATAATTTAGGTGTTTTTTATTCAAAGAGGAGACACAAAATGCAGTCAGTTCGGCAGAGTGAAACATGGGTAGGGAAAAGTCATCTTTCCCCTCTTAAAGTTTATCTAAAGCCAAAACCTTTAGTTTTTGATAACAGGAAATGGTTAGAACTCCTATATTTTTTTTTATCACTGTCTGTGTCCCCATTGGTGAGATACATAATTTCTATTTGTACCAGTGACTATTCGCTGGACTGAAGTGAAGGTAAATCCAAAATTTTGATCTGTTACCAGAATAGGAATTTTCCAATTGGAAAACTTGTTCTGGTGGCAAGCATCTAAATGATCACTTCCATCACTTTGGAGAGATTTCATCTCAATCCCCCAAAGGTACAGAGACAGCAAAAAAAAAACAGGTGTCCACCTTTTCCTACTATATTCAGGCTACAAGCTATAAGTTCTACACAGGTTTTGTAGATTTTAGAACAAATTTCAAAAAATACATTTCAAATTACAAAGCATGTGAAACCGGAAAAATAAAGAAAAAAGACATGATGCAAGGCACACATTAAAGCAGAGCCAGACCATGCACAACGCAAACTGGGCAGGAGCCCCAAATCTGGTGGATTTCCAGCTACAACCTTCATTTTTCTGCACTAAACCAGAGGTACAATGCAATTGGTCAAAGTTGTGCACCTGCCTGTCACTTTACAAGGAAGGATGGGCTTGTAAGTTCTGAAGAGGAGGGGCAGTGCCAGTGCAGACAATGCAAATGGGGTGACTTCAGTGCTCCTATTGCAATTCTCAATGTCAGTTGAACTGGTGGCCTTTTTCAACCTTAATCTGTCTTGGTGTTAAAGGACCAGTATTGAAAACAATTTTACCATATGGGGTTTTTACATGTAACAATAGTATTCCATACAATAATTTTTTCCCTTTTATTTATATTTTCTCTACATTGATATGCAGACTAAGCTGTCCAGCAAAAGAAGCGGTGACAGGGTTTGGGACTAACTATAACACTGATTTCATATGTATTGAATCCAGTGCTTCTGCATAGACATTTTAGCTACAAACTCTTTCAGAAGGCCAGCAATAGCAACACCATAGTTATGTCATAACAGATTAACCTTTTGACCCATGAGTCTGCCTAACCATAAATACACACTGTCGCTACAACATGCGCTGCCACAGAAATATTCTCACTATTATTTATGTATTAATGTATTTTATGCATGTTATTTACCTGTAAAAGCCTTCCTTGTGTAGACATCCAAACGCCCATAGCCTGCTGTTGGGTGTCCCGCCATCTTGAATGTGATGTCAGTAGCCCCAACAAACTCATAGCTGTCACTTAAGTGACACTATAGTTTTTCCCTTCCTATCTATGTAAGGAATGAGTGGAGGGGCAGAGGACCAAGACCAGCACAGAGAGTAATTAGTCACTCCCAAGAGGGGAGAGCTATGACGTGCAAAGAAGTAGGGGGTTGTGCTAGGGAATAGATCCTCCAAGCTCACTTCCGTGTAAGACTACAATCTTAATACAAATGAGTAAACTAACGTGAGGTTGTAGTCCACGGAAGCAAGCTTGGAGCAGTGGCTAATTTACAACACACACAGGGGGCCATGAGGAACAAATGTAGCCACCCTCCAGAAGAAAGGACAATGTCAGTATAAAATCAGAGATGATTTGAGGATCTGCAGACAACATTTTTTTTAATAGTTAAGGTACTGGAATGCATTTTTAAGATTTAACTCCTGAGTTTAGTGTCACTTTAGGTGTAGATGAGAAATAACTAAGCAATATTTTACATTTTATATTCAGTGTTAAAAAATATATATATATATTTCTTTTTTTAGCTGCAGTGGACCTCTGATAACGGTAGTATTCTCAATGAAATGGTTACAGTTACATTTGAAGCAACGTCTCAAGAAGGTAGGTGTGTTTTAATTTAATTTTAATTTATTTTACTCTATTACATACCACTGGCATAATACCACAGTGCTTTCTCAGAGAACAGGCAATGATTCATACCAGTACCTGCCCACAAAAGAGCATACAGGTGAATAACCCTTCCACAGCCGCAAACATACAAACTAGTCTGCAAGACAAGTGTAGTAACCAGTTGCAAAATCATAGCAGAAGTGCAAAGTATGTGCATTAGGGTGTGCACACAAAAGTACAAACATACATCTTTATGTATAATACATACATACACAGACCCGAGGCATCCCGGATTTCCTTCTCTTCAACTGACCCTTACCTCTTACAGCATGGGTGCAGTAATGAAGCAGGGAACCTGGATCCCGATTGAATGGGGAGCCACAGCTACGCTCCCTCACAGCTTCCCAGGCACCAAGGTTGCTAAGAGTTTGCGGGGAGATGCAAACATCATTCTGCCCAGCTCTTAGAGGCATCACTCTCCCAAGGCACCCCCCCCCTTCCCCACACTGATTGTGCCCCATTCAGCATGGCCACCCCCGTCCAGATCCTGCTGAACTTCTGTGCCTACTCCAGCTGTAGCACTGCAGGTCTCATGGACCTCATAGTTGAAGGTGCATCTCCATCCCCCTCTCGTCCTGGTCAATCACAAAATGAAGCCTTGCGCCATTTGCTTTGTGATTAGCCAGGAGGAGAGGGGGACAGAGATGCAACGACAGCACTGACCTACAGCTGAAGTGACTAAGGAAACTCAGTGGCAGCTGTTGTTCCATCCGCAGGTATATTGAAGATTTAAGGTGAGAAGGAGGAGAGGGCAAGCAGAGGCAAGTCTCCTCCCACCCACCCTCGGGGTAATGCTGACACTCAGGGGTAGAACACAGTGATATGAGTATCAACCACCATGGGAGGGAGCTGCGGAGCGCTGACTTGCTGCATGTTGGCAGCTGTAGTCCCAGGAGGCAATGTCGGCGCCTCGCGGTTACTGGGCCCTCTTATCCCTTTCTGTGCTCAGTAACCACTGAGGTGCCGACACTGCCAGGGCCCAGTCGCACATGCAACTGCTGTGACCCTGGTATTTGGCCCAGTGTTAGCCATTGTTTAGCATACAGGAAATTTCCTTTGTCTTACCATCACTGCTGCTAGAACACTACTGCAGGCTGCTGCATACACACATGGGAGGGCTACCTTGCCCATCATCTGCTGGATACACAAATATGGGAAAAGCATGATCAGAGCAAAGCCTGGCTGCTGTCTCACCTTCACGGATGACACAGTCACAAGTCTAGTCCCTTGCTTGGAGAGCCCAGCATAGCATTTTTCAAGTTCAGTGCCTCAAACTACCAGGAGCTGCTGCTGAGGTTGTTTGGAGCAGAGCTCAGTGTGTTCAGTGCACTAAGTTTTATCAAACACAGCATCCCTTTAGACATGTTCCTTCCCTGCACATCCCTGGCAGCCTCTGGGAGGAGCAGTCTTCTGATCATAGCACAGCTCTTGGTGTTGGTTAGAGTGTGCCCAGGCACACCCAGGACACCCTGTGCGCATGCCTATGATAGTAATAATTGTTGTTTCATATTGTGTCGAGCTGTAATGTCAGCTAGAGAAGTCGGCATAATAACTGCTGTATGGTTAGATCTGAGAATTTGTTTAGTGGATTCTGATGGGCCTTCTCTGAGTATCTGCTTTGCTAGGTGGTCTTGATGGTACTTTGTCAGACAGACTGTCTAGGACCCTATTGCCTGACAGACAGCCAAGTAGCCTTCCTCCTGAATATCATGGTAGTCATTTAAAGCCAATCTCATCTGTAGTGCAGGCCATCTTGGTCCTATAGACTTCAATGGGAAGCGGCTGGAAACGTGCGTTTCAAGCGATTTTGCCAGTTTTGTTCCACAAAGTTTCCTATTGAAGTCTACGAGACCAAAAAGTGCTGTAATCTGCCTAAAAGTAGCTCATGTACTTTTTCCAGCAACAGGCGTTGCTTGAGACAAAACGCTCAAGTGTGAACAGGGGCCATGGAAATGAATGGGATTCCTGATCTTGAGGATTTTGTCACGCTCAAGACCAGCGATTTGGACTCCTTGTCACGTTTTGTCATGCTGAAGACAAGTGAATTGGACTCCTTGTCTTGAGTGTTTTGTCATGCTTAGCTTTGAGCGACAAAACACCTAGGTATGTACAGGGATTAAGAATGGGAGCACTGACTGGGCTGTTTGTGTTGCCACAGCATATTTCTGTGTGTTATCCTTTTGGGGAGAAGTTTGCAAAAAGTGTACTTCTTCATCCCATTGGATCCTCCAGTGTTGCACGAGTATTAGGTACAACTAAAAAACAAAAGACAGCCCAGGGACAATCGCTTCTGGTGAACAAAGCCCCCCACACTGTGAAACAAACTCCGTTATTAGCCTAGCCCAACTAAGGGTCAGATATCAGCATCAGCAGACTTATTTCAGTGTCCTCTGGCATGGCTGCCACTTGTCCTTTATTAAGGGCATTGCGCACGTTGAGCCCCTGGTGATGCATAAGAGGCATTTAGAGGCGTGCACTAGATGTCAGGGAACCCCTGCACATCTAATGCACATGCTGCGGAGGAGCCCTAAACTGTTCCTTTATTGGAAGAATGTTATCTCCACTATTAATAATGAATATCACACCAACCTATCTATTTATCCCTTAGTTTGTTTATTGAGTCTTATTGAAAATTATATGAAAATTCTTATCCTAAGGAGATAATGTCCCTGGTTTGCAGACTTCTGCTAGGAAACTGATGGTGTTGAAATAGATGTCCCCTACCACCTACTATTATTGAGTGGCTAGCCCATGTTAACTTGCTCTTGCCTAAGGGCAATGGGATGGGACAATGGGATATGTGGCTTTCCACTCCTAGATTAGATCCACCTGACCTTTATATTGCAGTATATCTTGGATGAAAATTTTTTTATTATATGTCCCCCACCTTTGTTTTAAACCTTTTTGGTGTTTTACATTTTCTGGGATAACGAGAGGTAAAAGGCCCAGCATTACTCTTATTGAAATAAGCGTTGCTTTCTATTCACCACCCTCATGTGAGAACTGTTCCCTTTGTCATATGCCTGCCTGTATGTATATTGGTCTGCATAGCTTTTAGGATAACTGATCTCCGCTGATTATTAGGTTCACGTATCCAAAGTTTACAATAAGAAACAATATATAGTTACCTCTGTTTTATCTAATTTTACAGAAAACTCTGTTATAGATCTGACTAAAATGTTATTGCATAACTTATTGAATACATACTCTTATGCAATATTGTGAATAACGTATCTACATGTTAGGCCTAAGTGGTGGATGATATGGTATGTTGTTATGTCTTTATTAGTGTTTTTGTATGTCAATAAAAAAAACATTTAAACTCAATTAAAAAAAGTCCCTATAGCACACAGGAATCGTAAAGAATAACCTGTCATTCATCTGCCACAGACTGATATATCTGGATTAGAACACCCCGTTAAGATCAAATACCCCCCCACCTAAATATCAGTAATGTAAGCTCATGAGGGATACAAGTCATTTTACAGACCATTTTCTGTTTCAGAGCAAGTGGAGAATTCACCCAGTGAAGACATGTGTCCAGATACAGCTCAGCTGATCTCATCACTTACTTCTCTTCAACCCAAAATATTTGCACAGTTACAGGTTGGTGAATTTTAAAAAGTGTTATGAAGTAGTATGACAACATGCATAACTGCAGATGAAACTCACCCATTTTCTTGACTGTTTTACTGAATACTCAAAGCAATACATCCAGAATCAAACCCAGCGATGAGATGGAAACCTTTCAGCCTCATTTACATGGGTGACTGACTTTTATCGTCCTCTGAAAAGCAAACCACGGTGTATTGCTTTTCAGAGTGCGGTTGACAGCCGGTTTGCAGGCATTCTGGAAGCATTACTAAAGCCTCATGCCTGCCCGTGTCGGCTATCGGAATACAATAGCTGGTGGGCAAGATTCCTCCATTTATATTGTTTATTGTGGATAGGAGAATCGAGCCTTTTATCTTGTTCAGCTCACGGGCTGAATGAAAAAAAAAAAACTATTTCTCATATGACTAGCTTTAGAAATGTTTTTTGTACAAATGCATTCAGAATCATCTGTTGAAAAGGACAGGAAGTAGCAACATTCTTAAAAATGTATGAAATACACAAGACTAACGCATATCAATAATGTCTGGCTTGTTGTTTTCTCAAGGGACTTCAATTACAGCCCTCTTTCACATCCTCCGATGGAACTACTGCCCTCATTGCAGTGAATCAGTCGTCTTCCACATTCACCTCCCCTGATGAAACTACAGCTGTAATTACGGTTAACCCCCAAACATCATCGTTAACATCATCTGATGCAGCAACAGCCCTAATTACTGTGAATCACTCAGCCCCATCATTCACATCTTCTGATGGGACAACAGCACTTATTACATTGAACCACCAGCCCCAGTCATTTACATCTGCCGACGGAACTACTTCCCTTATCACAGTAAGCCAGCCAGGTCTCTTGAATGCTGGCTCAAACAGTCAGCCACTTGTGCTAAGTCACTTACACAGTCAACCATGTGCCTCTTCTGTGACTACTCTGCCTGGATCTGGTCACAACATAGTCAGTATGGGACAGCTAGTGACTGTGGAGGATGCTTCTGGCATATCAGGAGAAGTGCACCAGATTCTGCTGGGGGGATTACACCCAATTCCTTTCAGGATTCTAGAAAACCAGCCAACTATAGGTGAGTGTATTTTTCTACAGTACTCAGTAGGAAAAACCGGTAGTATAGCCACATATTTAAGAGAGCAGCATCGCTTGTGCAGTTCTAATTTGAAAGCAGAACAGTAACAAAATAAGACCCCCTTCGCTTCTATGTCCATAATAGACCATTCAAATGATAAAAGGCATGAAGCCATATCCTGCCTGAACTCTGATCGTGAGCTTTAGAAGAAATCGGGTGAGTTTATCAGGTGGACAAATGCCTAGGCATGACACCAACCTTCATAGGATTCTGATCAGTGGTTTATAATGCAAAGGTGCTGTAAGTATTTCTTGCCTTTACTGAAGAAAGGTGATAGGGTACTGGGTGATTTTACTTTACTTTAGGTCTTGCTTTTAGGTGGTCAATACACAGTATGATGATTGGGGCACAGGTTTAATATTGATCATGCTCACTTTACAAGAGACTGAGCACGTAGGAAAATGTGTTTAATTTGCAGTTAAATGACTTGTGATACCACAGATATGAAAGAAGAGATGTTGGTGCAGCACTGTACTACCATAGTTAGTATTTGGAGACTCTCAGTGCAGTTGATCTGCAGCCACTTGCAGCATGCATGCATCCTGTAGTACTGTATAGCCTCAAATATATAATTATACACATTGCTTGTGTAATTGTTAAGGTGGCCATAAAAAGTAAGTATTAAATGATAGCAGGATATTTTTTTAATATTGATCACGTCTCTGTCCAAAAAGTGGAATTTCAATATGATAAGATTGTTATGGATTTATTGGGCACATTTGATTAAATAGTATACAAGACAGAATAGCTTTTTACTGCACTTTTTTTTTCCCTATACATGTATGCTGACAGGATAATTAGGATAACCAGATAATCATTGCATCTGTAGCTGTGACCATGTCCACACTGCATTGCCTGAGTACAATGTAGTCATTAATGTCACCTATCTTTATTATTCATTGTATGCCATGTTCTCTTGGTGTTTTGGTTCAAGGAAAAAAGCTGTGTTGCATTTTCAAGGCCTGAATAGACAATAAAAAATATATATATTAGGGATGCACCGATACTTTTCAGATACCAGTGCCAATACTTGGCATTTTCATGAGAACTACCGCGGTTGCAGCTGGGACCTAGCTCTCGCGCTCCACCAGTGTCCTGAAATCATTAGTCTGTATTGTTTTAGAAAAGCTGTCACATGACAATAAACAAAAATGTATCAGTACTCGTAAGTACTTGGGCAGGTACCAGTAGTTGTACTTGCAAAAATGGTATCAATGCATCCCTTAATTTATATTTATAAAAACAAAATCATACATTAAAACAGATGTACAAATCCCGGGAGCTCCGTGTGCTCCTTACTAATGACAGCTGTTTCCTAACTTTTGAATTTTTCTCTAGTCTAGTCTTGGAGCTGGAAAAGTATCTTGTACCGAGTACTGTACTTGGTATCGGTCCATCCCTAATATATATCCAATATTTGTGCCTAAGTTTGACAAATAAATGCAGTTGCATTACTTGTATCTTTGTGCGTGGTAGTAGTAGAATCTTCCTGCATTTCCATTCTGGGCCAGTGTTTTACTAACAACATTGTAAGTCAGGAAATATTTTGAATTCCTCTTCCTAGAAGAGATGGAATGATTGTTTCTTTTCTTTTTTTTTTTTTTTAGTTGAAGTCAGTCCACTTGATGCATTTTGTACCGAGCAAATTGAAACAAAGAAACAGTCATCTGAAGCACAGTCTCATGAAAATGAAGCTGGAACCACCGACTGCCAGGACCACGCTTGAGCAAAGGAATGATGACGATCTTTTTTTAATCTCTTTTAATGCATTTTTTTGCAGTAGAATTTAATAACTCCTCATATTGAGGGGAAACATATGGACAACAGTCAATACTGATCCAAAATTTGGATAGATTTTGCTGTGGTCAATAATAATGAAATGAAGGGGTTAAACCAGATCTGTACAGAACGTGGCGCTTTGTGTTTTTTTTTTTTTTGCTATAGGACATCCGTACAAATATTAGATTATTTGAAACCAACACAATGGTAACATTAATAGGCGTTCAAGGTCAGTATCTGAGCACCTATTGTACACACAAAGGAATGTCATATTGTATATCCTGTACACGTTTGGTCTTTTCTACACATTTGAGAGCATGACTATTAAAGTATTTGTCTGGCTAGTGCATTCCAAACCTTAAATCCCATGGGTTGCAATCGCCCTGATGGCCTCTGCATACTTTGTATTATTTACCATCATATCCCACTCAGAATTGTGTTGCATCATTTTTTTTCTGGGCATATACATTTATTTATATCACATACACAAGTGATGAGGGTGTCAGAAAATCTGCAGCCACACAATAAAGTAAAACAGGTAGGGCCAGACCATGGAATAGTCACTGATTTAGGGCAGCTACAAGCACCTGGGTGTCAGTGAGTTTCCCAGACCTTGTATTAAGCTGGCCATAAACCTTACAATTATCTGCAGATTTTCTGTGGTCAGATGGAAAAGGTGCAACAGATTCCTCCATCTACACTAAACTGTGTGGATGGAGTAATCTCCACCTGGGCCAATCTGTTGCACTTTTTCCATCTGACCACAGAAAATCTGCAGATAATTGTAAAGTGTATGGGCACCTTTAGAATAAATGCTATCATGCAGGTTCGGGTTTTCAGGTGAAGTGAATCTCAAACTTTCCAGGAGGCTGCCATCACTTGATCTAACTTCCCCTGACAGGGTCTCCTTCTTTCTTAAAAGCGGTGAAACTGAAGAAGATGTAAGGTGTTAATGTTTATTCTGCAGTTTAGTTTGTATTCCAGTAGAAGATATAATGCTAGTTCTTTTTAAAGCCCAGTTGAAACTGGCTAAATACATTCCAAGTGTGTTAAAACAAAAGGTGTGAAAAGTAAGGATGCACCGATATATCGGCCGCCGAAACATATCGGCTGAAAATGGCACTTTTGCCAAAATGCCGAAAGTGCAATTTTTCTGGCGATTTATAGCGGTGCATCTCTGCTTTCTCTGCTCCCCGGTGGGCGCTGCTTTGTGTCCCAGCGGGGAGGAGAGAAACTGTCACAGGCGGCCGAGCGCTGCGGGAGGAGAGTGCTGTGAGCAGTCGGCGTCTCTCCTCCCCGCACCTGTCACAGATCAGGAGAGCGGTGTGCGCGGAGACAGCCAGCGCTGTCATAGGAGGCGGGCCGGCGGGGGAGGAGTCAGCTGTCAGATCGAGCTCTCCTCCCTGAACCACTCGCTCAGCCTCCTGTGACAGTGTGTCAGGAAGGAGAGTGAGTGCAAGCACTCAGCGATCATTGATCGCTGAGTGTTTTGTAAATAATTGAGGACATAGTATGTTTACCATATGCTCAATTATGAATGAATGGGAAGTGATCTACATTCCCTCCTGTTCATTCATGATTGAGGACATAGTAAACAAACTATATCCACATGTAATAAATGAACTCATAGAGGCTTGCTGTTCATTCTGTAACAGGGGATGCAGAAAAAGAGATTGAGGACTCTGTGTTCTCAATCTCTTTTTCTATTCTAACAAGGGAAATATCAGGGGTCTGTTTAGACCCCCAATACTTCCCCGAAGCCCCTAAAAGTAATGTAAAAAATTTAAATATTTAATAAAAAATGAATAAATAAAAATACAATATAAAAAAGTTTATAAGAAATAAATAAAAATAAAATATTTGAAAAAGAATAAAAACATTTTTGGTTTCGGCCCGACATTTATTTTTCATTTGGGTTTCGTTTCGGTTTGAAATGTTTTATTTCGGTGCACCTCTAGTGAAAAGTCTTAGTTGTTTTCTTACAAAGCCACAGCAAAAAGCCTGTCCCCTGCAAACATGCTGCAGATTCAGACCTTTTCTGTCTGTGGGCAAGCAATCATTTTCTTTCAGCGGTCTGACACATCCCCTGCTGAGTCAGTGCCAGTGGCGTAACTAGTGACCTCAGGGCCCCATGCAAGAATCCCATGAAGGGCCCAACCCCCCCAAGAAGACACAAATTAGATTTTTTTTTTTTAAACAAAATTAGACAAGGAAATTAAAAAAAAAACACTGTCCTCTTTCATCTCCCCCTTCATGTCCCCAGCGACCCCATGTCACCTTCGTTGATACTTCCAGCTCCCTGTCTCGGTCTCCCCCTTCGTGTACGCAGCACTCGGCGGCAGTTCTGTGTGATGAGGGGGCGGGGATTACACCGCTCCCTCTCATTGGCTGCTGCCCGGCTGGATGATGCTTCACGCTGCGCCCGGAACAAGATGAGGGGAGCAGCGTGAAGCATGTAGGGCCCAGGACGGGAGGAAGAGGTCCCGGGACTGGTAATCAGCGGTCACCAGTGGCCCCTTCCTCCTGTCCTGGGCCCCCTCCAAGTGGCCGAACTCCAGGGCCCGGTCGCGGCCGCGACCTCTGCGACCCTGGTAGTTCCGCCACTGGTCAGTGCCAAAGCTCTCCAATCAGCCGAGAGCATGAGGTTTGCTGATTGCAGATCTATGGGTCAGACTCAGTAGAGGGTATGTCAGTCCTCTGCAGAAAGACCACTGCTTCCACACAAAATGTAAATGTCCTCCTTTGCATCACGCTGTAAAAAGAAAACATTTACACAGATGCCTATGCTGCATCCAGAGTTTCCTGCGACAAGAACCTATGGAACCTACACATCTATCCTGTGTCCAGGGACAATCATCTATCCGGAATCATAGGTAATCATACCATGTATGATTACATTCAGACTGCCCGCTGACAGATGTGGCTGCTGTCACCCTGTCATTAACTTGAACAGGGACATCTAGGAATCCTGGCGCAAGACTACCTAAGCACGGCAACCTTACAATTATCTGCAGATTTTCTGTGGTCAGATGGAAAAGGTGCAACAGATTCCTCCATCTACACTTAACTGTGTGGATGGAGTAATCTCCACCTGGGCCAATCCGTTGCACTTTTTCCATCTGCAGATAATTGTAAGGTGTATGGGCACCTTTAGACATTGAACGCCTTTTGCATTGATACACCTGTATGTATTTAGCTGATTTAAACTGAATGTTCAATTGAGCTATATTATTTATTGAATGGCATATAATATTGAATTTTAAAACAAATAATTAAGGTTTTGATTGGGTTTACCAGTTGTGTTGCTCGGTAACATGAAAAGACAGTGTTGTGCCTCTGGGTGGTTATAGCATCGCCATAGTGGAGGGCCTTTTTACATTATTGTGAATTAAATGTTTGAAAGCGAAGGACACATATAAAATACAAGTGCACAAACCAGGCTAATAGCGTTTATTTTGCAGCTGTTCATATAATCTATGTTGCAATATGAAGACAACATTCTCAGACATGTCATGAATATACTTAACAGATTATGTGTCCCAGATCATTAATGAGCAGATCATTCAGTAAATTATTATGCACCAATGATTTGAATAATCTTGTGTTGATATGGTAAAGAGACTTGCTTAGTGAGTTTGAGAGCCAATGGTATAATCTGGAGTTAACTTAATAGTCATTTGTCTCTTGGGTATAATATATATCCTCTGCATACAGTAGACACATTCCCCTCATCCTTAAAGATTTCCGTGATCATAAATATAATTAAACTGCATAGAAAATGAAGGTTTCTTTTTGTAAAGTTTAGTATTCAGGAAGGTTCCACAACTCTGTGACGGCGCCATAAATCAGATCCGTTGGGCTGTTCATAATCCTTTTTTTTTGTCTGCCTGTAAAAAATATGTTTTTAAACTAAGACATTAGTCTATAGGAGATGTTCATTTTCTTACCACCACATAATGCCCTCTTATTCTCTTCATTCTTGATCTTTGCGCACAAACTGATTTAACAGATTATAAAACGTGTCGACATTTTATTCTACAGCAAAGATTCTCTACGAATTAGGAAGGAAAAGGTAATATTTACAGTCATGGACAAATTTGTTATCAATAAAGAAGAAAGAACCTACAATTTTCTCTGAAATAACTTGAAACTGACAAAAGTCATTGGCATCCATCATTTTTTATTCCATATTTAATTAAAAAAATTGGCTTTGCTTTTGATTTCTGACTCAACAGAATATTTTAAATAATAAAACAAATAAAAATGGCATGGACAAAAATTAAGGGAACCTAATATTTTGTTGCATAACCTTTAGAGGCAATCACTGCAAACAAGTGATGTCCGTAGCTCTCGATACTTCTGCACCTGCATGCTACTTCAGCTGTCCCAGGTTTGAAGGGTGCCTTCTCCAGACTGAATTTTTTAGCTCTTTCCATATATGTTCAAATGGATTTAGATCAGGGCTCACAGAAGACCACTTCAGGATAGTCTAATGTTTTGTTCTTAAACCATTCTTGGGGGCTTTCATTTCTGTATTTTGGGTCATTATCCTGCTGGAAGGCCAATGACCTCCGACCTGAGACAGAGCTTTCTGACTCTGGGCAGTATGTTTCGCTTCAAAATTCCTTGATGTACGAGATTTTTTTGGCCTTCCACACAGATTCAAGGCACAGCATGCCAGAAGCAGCAAAGCATCCCCAAAACATAACCGAGCCTCCTCCATGCTTCACAATAGGTATGGTGTTCTTTTCTTTGAAAGCTTAATTTTTTTATTTTATCTGTGAACATCGAGCTGATAGGACTTGCCAAAAAGCTCCTGTTTTGTCTCATATGTCCAAAGAACTTTCTCCCAGAAGCACTTTGACTTGTCAGTGTGCATCCTAGTGAACTCCAGTCTAACGTTTTTATGTTTTTCTTTCAACAGTGGAGACCTCTTGGGTCTTTGAGCCCGCTGTCACTGGAAAAACTAGCTGGCGCAATCAGACACTGATGTACCTTTTAATGTGGAGTTCAGTTTGAATCCCTTTGGAAGTTTTCCTTGGCTCTTTGTCTAC